GTTATTTTCAGCTAATTCTAGTTTCTAATATTTAATGCTGATATTTATTACAGTTATATAGTTATAGATGTATTTCAACAAACAGTTATTATTTAATACAGATTTTAGCTAAACTGGACACTCCCTCAGCACACAGTGAGCTTTGTAACTGTTACTCAGTGATAACAGCGATAGCATTAGCTACATGCTTTGCAAATTCCTAAAAACCACAAACAGAACAACAAACGCTGATAATCCCATCAATTTACTGTTGCAAATGCTTCCAGTTAAAAGATGAGACACTTGACAAACTGGATTCACTGGACTTGACGACACAGAGCAGAAAGATTTTTGGCACCTGCAGTTCCAACCAAGACGGCGGCTGCATTCGAGTGCGGTTGACAAACGTCCTCCTCAACCTCTCCTCGCAGTAGGGAGCGTAACCCGGAGGACCGTTTTTCAAAAATGTCCGTAGATACTGATAAAAGAGCAGAGAGAAGAGAAAAATTAATCGTATTACTGACATAAAGGACGTTTACAGCCCTGAGCAGTTTAAAGGTTAAAGGTGTGACATACCAAAGGCACTGACACACTGCACACAGCATTATATTTATTCTGTTTACATAAATGAAATCAAACTCATAACTCAATTTTACTAAAATCAGTCAGAAAAAAAGTTAATTAAAAGTTTCTAAAGCTAAACGTGATTTTCAGATGTAATATTTTGTTTTGAGTCAGACCAGAAAACTTTTGCTATGTTTTTGTTAAAAATGAATTCTTGCAATGATCAAACTGCAGATGAAATCTTTGAGATTCTCCCTTTGACTACTTTATTTTAAGCTTTTACTTCTTTGAGGACTTAAACTGATTTTCAGGCATCAGACCTGCTGATGGTGATGGTGGAGACGGACAGACTGCTGTTTACTGACTGAATGCGAGTGGATCGAGTTATAGATCTGTCCCATCTGCTCTCCTGGACTGAAATCCACTGCCGGAAAACAAAAGATTATATCTTTGTTCGTAGTGTATATGACTTTATCTTTTACACATGTCTGCTTTGGATTAGCTGGCTGACCAACATTAGTAAAAAGGAAGAAACATTGTTAGGTGGCTGATTAGAAACATCAGCCACATTTGAAACCCGGTCGTGTTTT